ATTACATATCGAGGGAGCCTGGTGGTGAACAAACTGTTGGTATTTGAACATTGTGTGCTCTGAAATGCTAGCAGGTACTTTTTAACTTCCTTCCTTGCCCCCTTCCCCATACATTTCACTTCATCAGGAACTTTATAATCTCGGGACCCACTGGAGATAAGGTAGTTTGCTGTAGTAAGTATGGGAAAACTAATGGCAAACCCTTCATTGACGTGGTATCGTACAGAAATCTGGGGCTATGCCCAGGAGGAATATTTTGGAGCAACACAGACACATTTGAACTAAAATACACTGGCACGTTTCCTTACACTCATTTCCTGACCACACTCGGCCTCACTGCTGGTCTTGTTCTCTCTCTCTCTCTCTCTCTCTCTCTCTCCCTCCCCTCCCTTCCCCCCGTCGTTCTCCGTTGTCGAAGTTGTACAACAACTCAATTTTTTAATCAAGATCAGACTTCGCCTACAAAATATGCAGTCACTACACTTTACAGTAGACCCTGCAAAGCGCTTTGAGGTGTCCTCTTGATGTGAAAGGCGCTATATCAAATGTAAGGGTTATTATTATGGTGCTATGTTATGGTTTCCTGGTATTGGTTCTAATTGCCTCTGTGGCCATGGCCTGCTCTTCCTGAGCAGGGCTGTGCGTGATACAGCAACACATAGTTTTCACTCTCCGTGTGTCAGCCTGGCTCAGTTGGTAGCACTCTCACTTTTGAGTCAGGAGGTTGCGGGTTCAAAGCTCCAGGTTGGGACTTAGAACTCATGTAGTCCAAGGTAACACACCAGTACAGTGCTGGAGTGTGCTACATTGTTGGAGGTGCCGACCTTTGCCTGGGAACGTCAAACTGTCCGAGTGGGCGTTACAGATCCCATGGCATTATTTGAAAAGAGAATGGAGTTTCTCCTGGTGTCCTGGTCTACAATCCCCTCGAAGTAAAAATTGATCATTTCACTTCATGGCTGTTTGTGGGCATTACTGTGCGCAAATTGTCTGCCTCGTTCATCTACAAATACCCCGTAACTACACTTTACACCATATTCTGTGGAGCGCTTTGATACGTCCTCTCAAACCGAAAAGGAGCCTTACTAAATAGATGCAAGGATTATCATTATAAATGCTACCTCTTTTCTGTCTCAAGTTTCGTGGTGCCAGACTGCAATACCTTGTGCAGTCAACCAACCCTCTCTGCCTCAAACCGTGATCTACTAAACTGAGAAAATCAGCTTCAATTTCTTGGCAGGTGATATTTTTCCCATATGGAGCAAATTTCGACATGCACACACACCACAAATTCTTTAAAAGCCTCCTTATATCATTGTGAAATGTTAACAGGTTATATGATTGTTCTCAGACCATCTCTGGAACTAGTCAACTCCGAAAACTTGAATGACCTTTTTTTTTTCACATTCTCATTGATAAACCCCCTGTTTGTTTTAAAAGGAGGAATCAGTTCTTCTTATGTTTCTATGCTGTGCAAACAATTACTGATTCATTGCGAAGCATCACCCACACCATATACAGTCAATCGACTTTACAGTATATTCTGCGATGGGCTTTAAGACATCTCAACGACGTGATAAGGCTCTATATCAAATGCAAGGATTATTATTATTGACAGATGCACAAATTATCAGTAATTATTATTATTGACAGATGCAATAAAATTATCAGTTTTATTAAGATGCCCTGGTATTCCTTTTCCAATCCAATTTTACATCAGATCAACTTATCAACAACACGACTAAAAATCGAAATAAGAATGATGTCTTTGCAAAATAAAAAGAGAAACTTCTGCTTCTATTCTGCTTCACTCGTGAATGAACACAACCTCAGACGTGACCTAGGAAATGGGATGCTCTTGTTGTATTCATTCTTCTGTATTTAAAATGCTGCTTTTATCTCGAAGTACACGAACTGCTTAACTCCACACAAGTGCTTTACACCTTGTGTTCATCCTTCTAAGTAGCAGAGAACACCCAAATCAACAAATAATCATCTGCAGCTAGCTGTCAGGTAGCTCTTAAACGTTGACCTCAATTAACCTGCTTGGCATCTAGAGACTAATAGTGTGTCCCAGTTGCAAACAATGAAGCTCGTTCCAAACGTTTCATTTTCTTAACATTTCCATTGTAGGAGGGACACCCAAATCTGACAGCTGGTCATGGAGAATGGACCACAATTCTGAGCCCACTATTGAACCTGTTCCACTGTATTTCTCAGAATACCCAAAATAGAGTAGTTTGGAAACTCTTGGCTCCGCTCTTGAAGCCCATCTACACACGATCAAATATTTGTTGACATCATCATAATAATCCTTGCATTTGATATAGCGCCTTATCAAGTTGTTGAGACGTCTCAAAGTGCTTCACAGAATATACCGTATCCCTTGACATTAATGAGGTATTTAAGAATTTGACAAATCTGGGATGCTCTAAAATGCTATTATTATAATTTGTTTTACCCACAAAATATACAGTCAGTTCACTTTACAGTGTATTCTGTGAAGCGCTTTGAGACGACTAAACAACATGATAAGGCCTATATCAAATGCAAGGATTATTATTATTGTAAATCTAGACTCAGGTGCAATTTATCTCCATATATATTTTGTTACTATTAATGTGTGTCCTTGGAAGAAGCTCTGGCTTCATTGCTCAGATTAATTGAATCTTCTCTCAGAGTATCTAATTGAAAATGACAATGGTTTCACTCCTACACCGATTATTTAGCCACTGCTGCTCCATGTATTGGTTGTGGCAGTAAAATGCTGCAGTTTGACAATAAGCACAAGTAATGGGATTTCCAATCATGGATACACATCATTGAAGTGCAGTAAACACACTTGCACAAGAAGCATCAATTACTAGAAGTGCTACACATGGTAGGATTCACAGCCAAGCTCTGTCCTCTCCCACCCAGAGAAAGACATTTGGGGAGAGACACAGGAAAGGAAATGATAGAGAAAAGGTCTAATATTTCCCCATTGGATTGCTGCATCTGCTACTGACTGACCCCAAAAGAGCATTCAAAGTCGTGGTGATGTCAAATTGTCTTTCAAGTTAACCAGAGCTCAGCATGTGAGGCAACAAAGGCCAGAATAGCAAAACAAAAGGGAAAGAAAGAAATTCTTGACAGAAAGCGTTAACAATAAACTGCGGTGAATTAGCAAAGAATCCTGACCAATTACAACATTTCGCCAGAGTAACAGCTGAATAAATAAATACAAAGATGGAATTGTTTTACATTTTTCTTTGGTGCAAAAATGCTGTTCTGATCCTGGACCTTGTGGACTTTCTCAAGAGTTGAGCGCTCCCTATGTGCGAGATGCTCAGTGTGGTACAGGGTCTGATGTCAGAACGTTGCATATTCTAGCAGGTGGGAGTCTTACCTTTGATGCTAGTTGGTTGTTTGCCAGCAACAGGGTGAGGGGCAGGCTCTGGGGGTTAAGTTACCATGTGTGGAAACGTAATCACGGTGATTATTTTTCACATTTCATGTTTCACCCGCAAAATACACAGTCCAATCAGTTTACGATATATTCTGTGAAGCGCTTTGAGACATCTCAACGACGTGTTAAGGCTCAAATTATTAAAGAATTATTATTATTAATATACTGCAGTATACTGAGTGGTCCGAATGCCAGCTGAATGTGATCTATTCAGTGGCTACCATTGACACAGGAGGGACGTTACCTGGTTTGCACAGTGGAATCAATTCCATTCCTACTGCAAGCACCTAATAGGTGGAGTCCTGTAGCTCAGTGGTTAGAGCACTCGGTTTGCAAGCGAGACACCTGGGTTCAATTCCAGGCACAGGGCGAAACCTTGGGCAAGTTTCCTTACTCCACACGCCTAATAATATTCCCTCCAAAAAACAAAACAATAATAAATTGGTCATTTTCAATCTACGACTGTTTGTGGGACGCTGCTCTGCGCAATTGGCTGTCGCGTTTCGCCCAGAAATATACGGTCAATTCACTTTACAGCATATTGTGTGAAGCGCTTTGAGACGTGGAGAAGACGTGAAAAGCGCTATATCAAATGCAAGGATTATTATTATTATTATTATAGATCACATCAGCTCACATTGGGACAAGCATGCTGCAACCACCCAGGGTTTATGCTTAAGCTTTCCAAAGTTCAGCTTGGCCTTCAGTATCAGGGGGTATTTCAATTGTGGCACTGGTTCTGAAGATGATCTTCACTGGAGAAAGTGTCAGTAATTTATTTTACACCTACAAACCCACAGTCACTATGCTTTACAGAAAAACCCATCAAACGCCTCCATCCATGTTATAAGGCACTATATCAAATGCAAGGATCATCATTACAATATTATTATACAGGAGATGTCACTCATCATTTGGCCCACACAATATACAGTCAATCCACTTTACAGTGTATTCTGTGAAGCGTTTTGAGATGATGTGATAAGGAGCTATATCAAACACAAGCATTATTATTATTATTATTCATTCACATCAATCTTATTCAAATCTCATGGTCTGCTATTCCAGTTCACCCCTGAGATCAGGAGTGGGAGTTTGTACTTCAAATTAAGTCGCTATTAATAATTCATCCCTTTTGGTGTTGACAATCAGAGGCTCTGATGCAAATTTGCATCGGATGCAAATTTTCCAGCTGAGCTGAAAATAAGACTTTGTACTAGAGGCAAAATCAAGCGAAGTAGAGACATTTGGAGTGACTCCCCTTTGCTCAGTGAAACCGAGAGGTACAGACCTCTCAAGGTATTCTGATGCTATCACTGTACTAGCTGACTGTAAACTAACAGCTTCCATCACAAATATATCAGGCTGTCTATCTGCTTCTTGGTTCAACGACTATAATAAAAAGATCAAGAATCTGAACTGTTGCAACCACCAACGCCTCACATCATGTCACTTACACATAACACAAATTCCTCAAAGATTCCACATTCGAAATGTATTCATTCTGAATTAACAACCACGGTGGAAACAAATAGAAATCAGGCTGGCTTACCATGAGCAATACCAAAGCTTCAGCTGCCGGTTATATGAAGATTTAGTTCGCTCTCCAGAAATTGTAAATTGCCTATTGTTTTTGACCCAGTTTGTCACATTGAATTAATTACCTCAGCATTTCCTGACATGACTAGCCTCTGTCTCTTTTCTCCAGGACTGTGCTACACACTCCTTGCTTAAGAACCCGGAGCTCCACAGCGAGAGTTGCTTCTGATGGAGTTTAACACAAACTGTTAACTTTTGAATTCCCAGTGGTAAATTTCTTTACCTGGCAGTGTGCCATCGGTGATGTTTGCTAGGAACATTGCATTCCACTGCAAGATAGCTTGTAGAAACTGCTTCATAAATTAGAAGAATCATGACAAATACGTAATGAGGTTAAAACCCTGACAATTAGCCACATTTTTCTTGATGGACTTTCTGGACGACCGTGTTTTTCACATGCTCTCAAGCTCGATGAACATCTAACACGGGGAGTTCAGGAGGCATTGAGTGCTAGTGCATCGGATTGCTATCTTGCAAAGTAGCTACGGTAATAAATTAAGAGCATAAGAAAAAAATGGAATAAGAAAAGTGCATTTGCTTTCCATCAAACCAACATCCCACTCCTTCCATTGCAAAAAAACATACTTCATAATCGGCTTCACCTCATTCATTACATTTCTTAGGGTACGTTTCCTGGTTCCCTTGATCCCCAGTGGTAAGAAAGTAAAAACTCTAGACATTCAAATTCTCATTTCCACTCTTCAATCTTGGCCTTGATCCCAAAACATTTCTACCCTCCTCCTCTCCCGAGTTCTATTTGTCATCTCAGCGCACACCTATTCTAATATCGTGTCATATCTAAACAGATACTTAACTTGTAGATGATAAATGATAATAATCCTTGCATTTGATGTAGTGCCTTAGCATGTCAAAATGTCGTAACATTTCACAGAGTGTTTCCTTAAAGTGATCTATTTCTGATACTTTGTGCAACCAAATAATACAAGGCAGTCTTCGATGTTTAAGCTTATAAAATGCAATATATTTTAGTGGTCCAAAAATATTTGAATAGTTTAAAAGTCAGGGTTCGCTTACAGATTTCTGAAGCGTCCCCTAAGAATAGTTAACACTGTGACCATGATTACATATGGCTGCCAGCCATCATTCAACGGGATGACTTTCTGGATTAGGTTAATATTAGCTTAGCTGTGTGTTATCATCCAATGGTATTGGCTGCAAAACTGAAAAAGTGCTCCCTTTGCTAACTATGTAAATGGTGGTGTGGTGAGATTGGCATCTCAGGATTCTCCATTGGACCTTTAAGCAATTGGGTAGAGTGGCATGAAGGCTCTGCCACTGTGAAGCTTTCTGGGACATGACCCTTCGTGCAAGGCGTTATATGTATATTTATATGCAACTTGTTGTTGTCGACACATGGGTGCATCACCAGCCCGACCCCCTGTTTCGTATCTGACAAAAACAAACACACGAGAAATGGGATCAAGTAAGGATAAAGAGTTTCGAAAAACTGGAATAATTTTACATCTCTGCAGACTGTGTTTTTTCTGGTGGTTATACAGGTGTGAAATTCGCAGCGTTTCATAACTCGTTCCTCGTGATAATCGCGGGACAAAGTGGGTTCTGAAATACTGCGGATTTCAGCTCAGAGTGTCGTCTTCCAGAGTGGCCTGTAATATGGAACCGCGCACTCTCACCCTCGGCATGCAATAAGGTGGAAAGGCAGCAACTAGTCATACTGTGCATTGAACGAGATGTAATGCAACGAATTACAGAGTTGCTACTTTCGGGGTTAAGTAACCATTCGGCTATTGACAGAGCAAGTGCTGTGCATTGAGCCAAAATCCTTGCACAAGGTTCAGGGTCCAACGGCAGTGTGAACGACGACCCCAATCCTCTGCGGGAAAGAATATCTGAGATAATGAAGCCAGCTACAAATCACTTTGTCATATTAAAATTAGTCCTTGTCACGTAATTTATTAAAACAGTGGGATGTTGGGGATGTTGCTCTCAGGCACAATGATTTACACATCTAACGCACATCATTTATGAAAATGCATGGAGTCATATTCTTAATTCTGTGTGTGCGAATACATAGCTCTCGCATGATTTTTTTAAATTTAAAAGACAATATTTTCTTGGTTCAATTGAAACGAACCAATAATAAATTGGTCACTTCAATCCACGACTGTTTGTGGGACGCTGCTGTGCGCAATTGGCTGCCGCGTTTCGCCCACAAAATATTACAGTCAATTCACTTTACAGTCTATTCTGTGAAGCGCTTTGAGACGTCGCAAAGATGTGGTAAGGCCCGATACCAAATGCAAGGATTATTATTATTATTCTTCACTGAAATGTAGCGTGATGATCCGGGGACAGCCAGACAGCTTCTGTTGTTGTTGGACAAGTCAGATTACTGACTCAAACAGTGCAACCATCCCCTCCCAAAGTTGTATTGTCCCTTCGAACATCATGCAAATGAAATATTCAGATTTCTCACAAGTACTGTATTATGTTTCCATTTTATTTACTCACTTTAAATGATTCTGCAATTAATGTCACGTTATTTATAAGACTGGTGATTTAAACCAGTTGTGGGGAGGTTGAGTTAATCACAGGTCATTAGTTGACTTTTTGCGTAAAGACAGACTTCTCTGAGAACCTGACCTTAGTAGTCGCTTTGGCACATGCAGCCAGCTTTATGAAAACACAATCCACAACAGAATTCCCAAATTTCCTGCTCTGGTAACCTTACTCTTCCTCGCTTATCTCCCAATCATTTCCAATTTTTCCAAGCGACAGATCCAAGACATGTACAATTCAATATTAAAGGACTTCAGGAATCTATTGCTTCTTTTGTTTTGATACATATCTATTTGTAAAATGAAAGCAAATCTCTCCCCTACCAGACTCGACGACATTTACTGAAAAGCATTCTGATTTACATCAACTCGGATTTAAGAGAAATTTGCTCTGTGTGTGTTGGTGGGTTACATAGTTGGTGGATTTATTGGGGTTTGCAGCCAGAATCAAATACGTGCAATATCTTCTCATTAAATTCTCACTGCCTTTTACCATAAAAGTTTGGTCAGAGGAGTCTGACTTGCACAGAAAACCCAAAGGATGCAGTATTGGTAAGCTCCCATATGTTTGTCCAGCTCAGACCACCCTACTCTCTTACTGTTACGCCAATGACTTGCAGCGGTATCAAAAGCTCTAAGGAAAGAATCCAGAACTCCAGCGACATGTCTATCCACGTCCCTGTCCCATTAATGAGCCAGACATGCTATTTAGGTTAATCGCTAATAATAGCCTGGAGTGCTACAGACTAGAGAGTTGCACAGTATGATAAAGGCAGTAACCTAATCACGGATTCTGAGGACATCAAAGGCAAAAAGCAAAGCTTCAGTAATTTACTGTCATCATCTGAGCATCGAGATAAGATTACAGTCTTGAAATCTTTCCTCGCTACCTGTTTATAATAAAACAAAGTTTCAATTTCATGCTTAGGGATCGGGGAGGGTGGGGGGGAGAAGGGGAGGTAATTCTATGTGTCTATATTTCTGCTCATATTGACTTTCATTGTATATGTTATATGTCCTCAATATGTGATGGCATTAGAGGATTAATGAGTGTGGCAAACAGCAGGTTTATTAAAAGTCTCTGCATTTAATTATGAGGACGTTCTATGGCCAGTATATATTTCATTACATTAAAGGCTCTTTCATTATCCAAGACACATTATTACGGTCACAAACAGAGGAGGACGTGATGACATTGTTGGCTTCATGAAGATAGAGCCACACAGTCCGTTCATAGTAGTTTAACTTTTTGGTTGGTTTAATAAAAGCTTTGATTTTTTATAAAAAAATGAAAACCACATTGTAGAGGCAGCTGCAGGAGATAGAATCTCAATAATATCGCAATTATGATAAATAAATAACAAAGAAATCTGCTATTTATAATTTTTGGAGAACTTAGCTTATTTGAAAACATCCTTGATTTTGGAGAGCTCTGTCTACACATGAAAAATAACACTCGGAAGAACTGAATTGGTCCCAAATGAAAATGAAGATGATAAAGTCGGTCTTATATCAGAAAGATTCCCAATCAATCCTTTTTAGAATCCAAGATGCTCGATCACCGCACAAAAATGGTTAAAATATACGTACAGTTCCTAGGATTTGTTGTAATGTATATAACTGTTCCAAACGTTCCAAATTATTTTCTGCATCAGAGCTAAGTGCTTGAGGCACCAAGATACAGATTCCCTGATACATATCTGTAAAGCAGGAAAGTAAGTTTGAAATAATGGCTCACAAAATTGCAAATTCTAATCCAGACCGTGGCTGGGTTATTAAGAAAACATCTGTTCTTCCCAGCTGTTTAAGGGTCATAGGTACAATGAGTCTTCACAACATCTAATGGGCCAGTTTTCACATCAATTTATCCTGAAAATCCCACCCATTCACTGGAAAACCACAACGTGAATTAGGTTTAAGGTGAGGTGCCCACCTGCCTAGACCACCTTAGGTGGTAGTTTCAATAGAAAATCGATTCACATTGCTGCAGTGTAACCCAGGATTTGCAAATCAACGTGGTATCTGCTCAAAACAGTCCCTTAAGAGTTCATCATCATAATAATAATAATAATAATAATAATAATAATAATAATAATAATAATCCTTGCATTTGATATAGCGCTTTTCACGTCGGGAGGACGTCCCAAAGCGCTTCACAGAACACACTGTAAAGTGAATTGACTGTATATTTGTGGGCGAACGCGGCAGCCAATTGCGCACAGCAATGTCCCACAAACAGTCGGAGATTGAAAATGACCAATTTATTGATGTTTTTGTTTTGGAGGGATTATTATTAGACTCTGTGTGGAGTAAGGAAACTTGCCCGAGGTTTCGCCCTCTGCCGGGAATTGAACTCAGGTCTCTCACTTGCAAAGCGAGTGCTCTAACCACTGAGCTACAGGACTCCATCTGACTTTGCGCAATACCTTTACACAGCAGGAGAACTGAACAAGCAAAGCAACTTTCCTTTGGCACCGTTTGTTGCATTCTTGCATCACCAACATACCCACCCGTTCCTGACTCTAAATTTGTTACGTCTCACCCCAATTCTTTCTCTTTATAAAAATGACCACACAATGCTAAGTTTATCGACAACTTACTTTCTAATCAGTGTGACTCC